CTCTCCAGACACCCCTGCATATACGCAAATGAATAGTGTCCACCTGCCTGTCCCTGACCCACCCACAGACCCCGAGGTCTCCCTGGGGCCTGGGGCCTCCGGAAGGCACCTGGTAGGACTTGGCGGCTCCTGAGCTCACCTCCGCACCTAGTCTGAGCCTTCCAAGGGCCGGTTCTACACCTCACACACCACTTTCCACTGCCCTGGTCTCCTCCCTGCCCACCCCACCCACACACAGCCAACCCGAGCGGGCATATGCCAGGGGTGGCCTGGACAAACTCAGCCCCATGGTCCTCTCCAGACCCAGCCACCCTCTTGCCACCCTGTGAGAGCCCCGCCTCACATCACCCGTGGCAGGACAGCCCTCCTGGATAAGGAACGCGGAGTCAGCTCAGCACAACCGTGTCTGCTAGCACCCCACAGAAGCCAGAGGGAGAAGGAGCAACGCGAAGGCTGGGCGGGGCCCAGGGGGTGGGGCGTGCAAGAGGGGTCACCTCAGAGGATCCCAGGGCTGCCTCAGGGAAGAGTGCTGGTAGCACAGGGTAGGCCCAGGGACTCACTCTTCAGAGCCAAGTCGGGCACCCGGGTTCTGACCCCAGCTCTGGCCCTGAATCCTCACTGGCCTTGATTTTCCCTCTCTGCACAGTGACGGTTGGGCCAGCCTGTCAGAGCGTTCCCTCTCTGAAGGTCTCTTCTTCACCATCCCCCAAGGCCAGAGTGGAAAGTTCTTGGGGTCCCCAGGAAGAAAACAGCTCACCTCACACTCTTCCCAGATGTCCCGGCCAGTGGATTTATAAAAGAAATGCCAAGGGAGGCCTGGTTGGACCTCAGGGGAGCACCAGGACCTTGAGCGGCCTCCCCAGGACCCTCCCCCTCCCCCTGGACTGTCAGCCCAAGGGCAGGGGAGGCAGAAATCAGCTCCTGAGTCCAGGGCCCTCAGGGTCCAGCCCCTGAGCTCAGCACCACCCTGCTGCCCGGGGCCTCAGGATCGCTGTCCTGACAGTGCCGAGCCCAGGCACAGGGACATGAGCACCCTGCTTCTCCAGGGCCCATTACGAGGGGCTGCTGGGAGGCTGTGGTCACTGCAGGGCTCATTGGAGCCCTGCAGCGACCTGTGCTGCCGACTGGCCAAAGGGTCTGTGGGAGAGTGTGGCCCCAGACTCCAGTGGGTGTGGAAGACAGAAGGGCACGAACCAGGCGATTTAAAGCTATTATCATCTGTTCCCGCTCCTGCCCACCTTGGTCTCTGAGGCCCTGAGTTTCCTCCCGCTGTGATCTCAGGGGTCCCCCCCAGGATCTGAATCTTCTTCCAGGTAGACTGAGCCAGCCAAGAGGTTTAGACCGGGAAGAATGGAAGGAGTAGGCAGTGCTGGGGGGGAAACTTTCTCCACCAATGATAATGAATTCACATACCAATGCAGTATGTCCCAGTGACACTGGTTGACCCATACTTAAAATTCAGCATGACATATATGCTGAAGATTTTAATAGTAGATAATTTATGTGGCTTCAGAAATGGAAGGGCTGGAGGACACAGTTCAATCAGAACTTGGGCCTACACTGAGCTCCCCACTTAATTGGGGGTCTGGAATCCAATTTGCTTTAGCAAAGGTGTCCTCCCTTTACAGGATTAGACACCTTCTCAGCCCTGTATCATCCCCATGGGTATCACCTTACCTATTGAACAAATCTACTCTCCCCCACTCCCTTCCTGCCATCTGTAACCTACACTTTCTGTCTTCTGCACTTTGCCATCATCTTTTCCTTAGTTAATATTAGGGTATATGTAGTTGGCGTTTTCTGACCCTTGACTGATGGATATGGTGGAGGATATAACATACCCTTGGCACCAAGATACCAGGAAGAGCCCAGACCCCATGTGTAAATTTCAGGGCCACAGACATGCGGCCTGTCACAATATGCCAGGAGCCGTCAGGGTAGAGGTAGATGGCAGTTTCCGTTGATACACCCCTTCAGGTCAGATGCAAATGTCTCACTGGCAAACCTGCTTGTCTCAGCTTTTTAAACAGTATCCCAGCTGATGGTCAAAAATGAGTGTGGTGCTAGGGTGGGGAGAAGGGGCAAATGTAGTCTAACGGGGAGGGGGCAGGAAAGCAGGTTTGGTTTTGGTTTTTTGTTTCTGTTAAACTTACACAAGCAGTCCTGGTCAAAACATATTCCTTGGGGCAAGGCTTGGAATATCCATAATCTGCTCACAAGATGCTGGCAGGCTTTATGAGGTCATGCGTGAACCCAAACAGGTTCTGACTTCTCTCTGTTGCCCCAAGACCCCAGGGAGCCCAGCTACTAAAATGAGACAGGGCATATACTGAGGCGACTAGCGGGGTTTTTTCCAGATATTGGCAGACACTTGAGCTTAAATGGCAAAGGGTACAAAGATATTTAGAGGGGGTGCCATACGGTGAGTTTTACTCAAGTCCTGAGCAGTGTGATGGCGGTGCTGTTAGGAGCTGCTCCAGAACTCGGTCACTGGTTAGTAAGGGCAGTGAATGCACTACCTGGCTGTCCCCTGTGGGCCTTCTCACACCTCCCCAAGGACGAGGTCAGGCAGCAGCCCACAGGGCTCCCACACCGCCTAGGATTTATCCCTACTGCGGTGCCTTTCATGCTTTTAACCGACTCCTGCCTCAAGCAGTAAGGTCTTTACCTTCTCTGTCTTCCACATAGGAGGGTCTGGGTACATGTTCACTGGATAAGCAAATATGTCAACCAGGTCCGTGGCCTCACCACCCAGAGACGTTCATTTCTATCCCCAACCATGTATCGTAAAGCTCCCTAGTGTCTCACACCTTAATAACATTTAGTGGCCACTCATTGTGTGCCAGGTACTGTGTTAAAGTGTTGGTGGAGGTCCCCGTCACCTGGCTGCGTGCCTCTAGGGGCAGACCAGCAGGGCAACCCTGCTGACATCTCCAACCCACTCATTCACTCCTGCCCAGGGGTAGAAGTGACTGACCTAACGAAACTGGGGGACAGAAGGAAGAACCTGCTTGAATTGGTGCCATCTGGCTTCTCCTGCAGGTCTGCCTGCCACAAGAAAGGGGTACCCTGGTGGGCTCCCCATCATGCAGGAAATAGGATGGAGCAGCTTGGCCCTTGCAGGGGAGGCTTGTGGCTATCTGGCTCAGCCTGGCACTGGGTGGGTCTAATTCAGGGAAATGGTGGGAAATGCACTTTGTCCCCAATATACCACATCTCACTTACCAAAAATGTACAGTTCACATGTTAACATGTCAAATTGGGAAGCATCATCCCATCTGATGGCATGACATAGTTTAATTGACTGTAATGTTTCTCAGGGGTACAACTTGGACTGGATGGCATCTTAGATCTGAAGAAACATGGTAAGCAACACTCACCAGTCAGCCTTATCAAAGAACTGGTATCTTGATCTCCATCTGGCCCAATGATCAGGACTCAATTGCTTCTGAGCACAGGGCAGGAGGAAACTGGTGTTATGTATTGCCACCCCTGTCCCCTAGTCCCCAGTGCTACGCGATTCTCACAGCCTGGTCTAAGAGGATACATAAGACCTTCTCTAGGCTATGAACATGAACAGCCTGGGTCGGGAGAGCAGAAGCACTTGCAAGCCGAGAAAAGCAAGGGCTCACATGGTATCAGTGTGTGCACGTGTGTGTGTACGCGTGCGCGTACACGTGAGCGCTCAGGCAGTCCTCCAGCACTCAGCTGACAACCACACTCTGCCCTGATCCCTCTCTTACCCCACCTTCCTCCCTTTGCAGCATCCCTGGAAAGATTCCTAAACTCCACTCCTCAATCTTCTTATCTGGCTTCTGCCCCTGCCCCACAACTAAGGGGCTGAATTGTGTCCCCTCAAAATTCATGTTGAAGTCCTAATGGCCAGAACTTCAGAAGTGGGAGACGGGGTCTTTACAGAGGCAACCGAGTTAAAATGAGTTTACGATGGGCCCTAACCCAGTATAGCTGGTGTGCTTCCAAAAAGGGGAAATCTGGACATAGAAACATGCATTGAGGGGAGATGGTGTAAAGAGACACAGGGAGAAGACGGCCACCTAAAAGCCAAGGAGAGACACTGGAACAGAGCCTTCCCGAAGGAGGAACCGACTCTGCTGACACCTTGATCTCAGACTTCTGGCCTCGATCAGTGGGACAATGAACGCCCTGGTTTAAGCCCTGCAACTTCTGGTTGTTACAGCAGCCCTAGGGAACAAACACAGTCACCAGTAACATCTGACTGGACAGCCACTCTTCCACCCACTTCCCACCTGGCTGCTCTGTATTTAATATCAAAACTTGCCCCTCCTTTGGCTCCACGGCATGACCCCTTCCTGGCTTCTCTCTGCTGCTCCCTCAGATTCCGCCTCTTCATCCAGCTGCTTCCCAGGTCCGAGTTTCCCCACTGCTTCCCTCTCCTCCACGCGCCAGTGCAGGGTGACTTCCTTCTCACTGTGGCTTCAACCCCCACCTGGGAACCAGTGGCCCTCAAAGCTGTCTCTAGCCCGTATCTGTGCCAAATTCCAGACCCAGTATCTGCCTGCCTCCTACACCTCTGCCTGTATGTCCACCAGCTCTCAAACACATGTCCAAAACGAGCTCGTCATTTCCTGCCCTCCCCCCCACATCCCTACGCAACCCACTGCCCCTCCCCACAGGGTCCATCTCAGGGACTGGCACGACCACCAGAGTGCTGCCTGTTTGGGGAAGCCTTCCTTGGTTTACTGCTCCCAAAACCGGGTAACACCCTTCTCTACACTCCCAGGCCACCCAGAGCTCACCTCCATGGTAGCCCTGATCATGCTGTCCTGTCATCTTTTTCAGAAATGTGTCCCCCTAGACTGGTAGGTCTTTCACGGCAGGGGCTAAATGATTCATCTCTGCACAGGCAGTCAGACACTCACTCTGGAGAACACCTGTGGTGAGCTGGGGGTGGCTGCAACCCTCCCACACAAGCTCTTAATGGTTAAGCAATTGTCACTGAAAGAGGCACCATATCACAGACAAGTTTTTATTATTTTGTCTTGCATATACAACCCAAGAAATATAAAAACATCTCCAGGATTAGTCAAAGGAACCACCTCCCTGACTGGCCCCTTCCCTTCTGGGTGGGCTCACATGGGTGCTAGAGGGTTGCAGACCACCTCTCTGTCCAGTGAACAAGTTCCATATAAAAATAGATCTGTAGAGGGCTCACAGAGAACCATCAGCCTGCATTATGCTGGCACCTGTGCAGGGCTGTGGCCTGGGACCCCTCAGGATTCTGGGACCTCACTCCTCAGGGGAGGGAAGATCTACCCTGGACACCGAAGTCCTAGCAATACAGCCAGGGGGACCCTCTGCAGAACAGCTGGGGGACAGGAGGGGACTTTGACCTTTAGAGAATGATTGATATAGCCAGAGATGGGAATGAGGCTCCCTCCACCCAACATGGGACAGCAGTCCCCACACCATGTCCTCTCTGGGCTTTCTGGAGGCAAAGGGCAGAGCCTAGAGGGCACCTAGCATGGGACCCTCCAGCCCTGTCAAAGGTGGAAGCAATGTCTCAGTCCTCCTAGTACCCCCAAAAACACTGAGTGGGGGCAGGTCTCAGGAGATGGGAGATGAGGGAGGGGGTGCTCCAAGGACAGAAGAGCCGCCGCTTGCAGGGCCAGGCCAAAGGCACCACTGTGGGGTTGCCCCACCACAGGTGCCCCAGAGGGGCACTGTGCCACCCAGACTGCAGGGTCCTCCTCATGCCAGCCTCTCTGCCTGAACTCCTCCTGTTCTAGGTTCTCCATCTTGCCTGTGGAAAATTCAACCCACCCTAAGGAAGGACACCCCCTTCCCCCCTTCAAGGCCCTTTTCAATTTCCACCGCAGCCTCTCAAGCCAGGAAGCCTCTCCAGACACCCCTGCATATACGCAAATGAATAGTGTCCACCTGCCTGTCCCTGACCCACCCACAGACCCCGAGGTCTCCCTGGGGCCTGGGGCCTCCGGAAGGCACCTGGTAGGACTTGGCGGCTCCTGAGCTCACCTCCGCACCTAGTCTGAGCCTTCCAAGGGCCGGTTCTACACCTCACACACCACTTTCCACTGCCCTGGTCTCCTCCCTGCCCACCCCACCCACACACAGCCAACCCGAGCGGGCATATGCCAGGGGTGGCCTGGACAAACTCAGCCCCATGGTCCTCTCCAGACCCAGCCACCCTCTTGCCACCCTGTGAGAGCCCCGCCTCACATCACCCGTGGCAGGACAGCCCTCCTGGATAAGGAACGCGGAGTCAGCTCAGCACAACCGTGTCTGCTAGCACCCCACAGAAGCCAGAGGGAGAAGGAGCAACGCGAAGGCTGGGCGGGGCCCAGGGGGTGGGGCGTGCAAGAGGGGTCACCTCAGAGGATCCCAGGGCTGCCTCAGGGAAGAGTGCTGGTAGCACAGGGTAGGCCCAGGGACTCACTCTTCAGAGCCAAGTCGGGCACCCGGGTTCTGACCCCAGCTCTGGCCCTGAATCCTCACTGGCCTTGATTTTCCCTCTCTGCACAGTGACGGTTGGGCCAGCCTGTCAGAGCGTTCCCTCTCTGAAGGTCTCTTCTTCACCATCCCCCAAGGCCAGAGTGGAAAGTTCTTGGGGTCCCCAGGAAGAAAACAGCTCACCTCACACTCTTCCCAGATGTCCCGGCCAGTGGATTTATAAAAGAAATGCCAAGGGAGGCCTGGTTGGACCTCAGGGGAGCACCAGGACCTTGAGCGGCCTCCCCAGGACCCTCCCCCTCCCCCTGGACTGTCAGCCCAAGGGCAGGGGAGGCAGAAATCAGCTCCTGAGTCCAGGGCCCTCAGGGTCCAGCCCCTGAGCTCAGCACCACCCTGCTGCCCGGGGCCTCAGGATCGCTGTCCTGACAGTGCCGAGCCCAGGCACAGGGACATGAGCACCCTGCTTCTCCAGGGCCCATTACGAGGGGCTGCTGGGAGGCTGTGGTCACTGCAGGGCTCATTGGAGCCCTGCAGCGACCTGTGCTGCCGACTGGCCAAAGGGTCTGTGGGAGAGTGTGGCCCCAGACTCCAGTGGGTGTGGAAGACAGAAGGGCACGAACCAGGCGATTTAAAGCTATTATCATCTGTTCCCGCTCCTGCCCACCTTGGTCTCTGAGGCCCTGAGTTTCCTCCCGCTGTGATCTCAGGGGTCCCCCCCAGGATCTGAATCTTCTTCCAGGTAGACTGAGCCAGCCAAGAGGTTTAGACCGGGAAGAATGGAAGGAGTAGGCAGTGCTGGGGGGGAAACTGTGTCCCTAAGCAAACTCTGGGCCCACGTGGAGAAGGGGAGTGTGCACGGTCGCACAGGTGGAGTGCAGCTCGCCGGGGTCCGTGTCAGGGCCGGAGTCTGGCCTCCCCCCGGGATCCTGGCCTGGATGAACAGCCGCTCACACCTGCACGCCCTGGCCCTGCAGCTGGAGTACTCGTGCCTGCAGGGCGCTGATCCCACTGAGAAGGGCCTCCCGGTGTTCTGCTGACGAGATGCCCAGGCCCATCAGCTCCCTGTGAAGAAGGCTGGTCAGATACAGCCACCTCAGCCTCCACTCCCACTCTACCTCCCCTGGCAGGGAAGTCTGGACCCAGGCCCCTCAGACTCACTGGGCAGCCATGGCAGCCACGGCCTCAAGGCTCCCGTAGCCAGCGGCGGCAAAGCTGTCCTTGTACCGGCCCAGGTCCAGGGCGTCCAGCCACGCACCCACAGAGCCAAAGGAGGGGAAGGTAGAGAAGGCACGGTCGGCCAGGGGGGTCGGGGGCCTGGGAGCAGAGGAGCTGTGGTCAGCTGACGGCAGGGATCTGGTGCCCTGTCCAGTCACTCTCCGGAGGAAGCTGGCTGTGAAAGGACAGAGTGGGGCAGCCGAGCCCCAGGGCAGACCTGGCTCACACGGGGTGCTTGGCATTCTCAGAGCACGTGAGGATTTCAAGATACCCAGGCAGCCTAGAGCAGGTTTCACCTGAGACAGCTAAAGATACTGGGAGTATGTGGAACAGTCTGGGGTTGGGACATACTTAGTAGTTTGGGAGGGACCTATATTTGCAACAACTAATACTAATTTCACTTATTTTATTTATTGGAACTACAAATTTGTTAAAACTATTACCACATATATTTATCTAGTCAGTGGTCACCTGGGGTATATGGGGCAAAATCCAGGACAAGTTGAAGAGGCCAAGACGGATGAGAGGTTCCACATGTCTAAAGCAGGCAGGAGTATCAGCTCTGACTGGGGCAATGGATTAAGCAGTCATACCTGGGCAGGTGGGGGACAGTTGTACTTGAAATATGTGGGGAGGCCATTCATGGAGGGGTGAGAGGTTGGCTGGGTCTGCGTGGCTGGGGATAGATGGGAATGTACCTGGGGGGAGTGAAGGCAGCTGTACCTGGGAGAGGTGGTCGTGGCGCACTTTGGGGGTTCTGGGTCCTGCACCATCTTGCTCAGGATGCTGTGGATCTGGGAGAACCTGGGCCGCTCACCTGGGTCCTTCTGCCAGCAGTCAAGCATGAGTCGGTGCAGTGGGGAGGGGCAGTTTCTGGGGGGCGGCAGCCGGAAGCCATCCTCCACTGCCTTGATCACCTGGGCCATGCGGGTGGTGGGCAGACAGGAGGCTTTAGGTCCCCCCAGCACGCGCGCGCACACACTCTCTCTCTCTCTCTCTCTCTCTCTCTCTCTCTCATTCTCTCTCTCTCTCTCTCTCTCTCCATCCCAAGGAAGACTCGGGTGGTGGCTGGAAGCAAGTAGACAGTGAAGAGGGGCCTGAGGTTAAGAGGTCAAGGGTCAGCAGGCAGAGGTCAAGGAGATGGGGCCTACAGTCAGAGAGTAACAGGATCAGAAGGCAAGGAGCTGGAGCCACAGGTCACTCACGTCTTGGCCAGACATGTCCCAGTAGGGCCGCTCCCCAAAGGCCATCACCTCCCACATGAGGACCCCAAAGCTCCACACGTCACTGGCAGAGCTGAAGTGGCCGAACTGAAGCGTCTCGGGAGCAGCCCACAGCGCTGGGCTGCGGCCACTCTGTGGGAGGGGAGGCAGGTCAGGGGCAGGAAGGGACTCGGGCACACCCGGGGTTCCCCACCCGACGGAGACACAGACCCAGACCCGTTCTCCCAGCTGCACGTCCGGGGAAGACACACAAGCTGAGCACAGGGTGATGCCACACTGGCATTTACTCAGGCCCAACTGGGGGTGGGCAGGGTTGGGCGTGACCCTGACCCGGCAGGGGAGGAATGGGAGTGGAGACCGGGCCTCTGGTGCAACCTGACGGGAACGGGGGCAGGCAGGCTCATGGGGGAAGGGGGTCCTCACCATGGTGTGGTAGACAGCCTCTGCCCGGTCCCGGGGCCCCCGCCCAAAGCCAGAGATCTTACAGACGAGGCCACTGCTGACCAGTACACGGCGGGCCGCCAGGCCCCGGTGAACGTAGCCCATCTCTGACAGATACTTCATGGCCGATGCCAGCCCGGGCAGCAGCCCCATCAGCTGCCCAGCCACCAGCTGGCCTTCGTGCCGCTGTAGGAGGAGACCGAGGCTGGGGCTGCACACCAACTCTCTGATGCTGTGTGACCCCAGGGAAGTCACCTGGCCCTTTCTGGGCTTCAGTTTACCCTGTGCCCTACCAGGTTAGCCTGGCCAATGGGCACCTTTTTAGAAAATGATGTTAATTGCATGTTCCACCAAAGAAAAAAGTGAAGGATGAATACCATTGTTACCAGCTCCCCCTGGGGCCCAAGCCACTCACCCTGAGGAAGCCATCCAGGGCACCATGGCTCATATACTCGGTGACAATCATCAAGGTGCTTCCTGTACCCAGGGACGGGGAACACACACTAAGTTGCCTGCTGCCCTCCGTGTGCTCCCCCAACCTGGGCTCCAGCCTGGCCAAGACTGCTAGAAACAAGCTTCCCCAATCTTGCCACCCTGATGCCCAGTCCAGGATCCTCTATGCCAAAGAACAAAGGAGGAGATATCTTTAGGAGGACAAAGGCCAAGGTCAGGAGCTGCAACTGCTAAGAAAGATCACCCAGGTCCAAGCAGAGTACCCCACACAGTGTCACCATAAGTTAGAAAGTTTATCCAGGGTCAGAGGGGCCATCCTGAACCAGTGAAAGAAAGCTGAGGCCTTCTCTCCACACTGGGCAGCTGGGGGTTCCCCCTCATGGCTGAGGAAGGGCCTGGGGGCACAGGAACACCCCCCTCCTGCCCTGTCATGCCCACCCCTGTACTTGTGCGGCACTGAGCCCTACCTCGGGTGACGACACCCTCCAGCCGCACTACATGGCTGTGGTCAAATTGGCCCAGGGTGAGGGCTTCTGCCAGGAAGCTGAGCTTCTGTGAGTCAGAGCAGCCATCCCTCAGCGTGTGTATGGCCACAGGGAGCTCCTGGCGGCCAGGGAGCTGCAGGCAGCCACAGCACAGCTCCCCATATCGCCCTGTGGGGAAACAGCACCTCAGAAAGCCCCCTGGAGCCCATCCCCAGCCCCCTGTCAAACAGTCAGGGTAAGTGAGGAGAAGGCATCTTTTCCACAGGCCGTTTCCGGCCCAGCACTCACAGCTCCTCAGTTTAAATTCCGGTAAACCTAGCACTAGCAAGGTGACGTGGGCTTTATCTCTTTCCCTCTCCTGGCCTCAGTCTCCTTCTCTGTGAAATGGGGGCTCCTCTTCAGCAGGAGATTTCAATGCCTGCCTCAGCAGGAGATTTCAAAGCCTCAAAGAAAGGACAGTACATGACAGGGTATGGAAGACTATTAAAACCTTGTGTGTGTGACCCAGGAAGGATGACGATGGCGTCTATCCTGCCACACCGCCCCTTTCTGGCTTCTGTCCAGCTTGCCTGGAGACAGTGCCAGGGGACAGCACCTGGCTCTGGTGAATGAGGCTGCTTCCTCTCAGAGCAGTGTTTGTAGACAGGAAGGAAGGAAGCCAGGAGAATGACCATCAGAGAGCCAGCACCCAAGGCCTGAGGGAAGTCCCTGCATCAGCTCTGTATGAGGCAAATATTACACCCATTTCATGGATGAGAAACTGAGGCTCAGAGCAGAAGAGGGATGTGCCCCTGGTCACACAGCGGTCAGTGGTAGGGCCACAACTAGAACTCAAGTAGGTCTGGCCCTACTGCCCATGCAGGCCTGGGACTGAACTTTTGCCAATGGTAGTCTGCAGAGGCCAGTTCTGAAAGGGCCTAAATGGACAGATTTCAGTGACCGTGGGGGCAGAAGGCAGTGGCAGACTCCTCTGCCATCCCTTTCCCTGCAACTTGGTGGGCAGAAATCTGGCTAGGTGTGGTGGGGCTTCCTGCACAGGGTGGGGCTTGGGTGGGGGTGGGCTTACAAGGCAGAGGTGGGGTGGGTGGAGGCGAGGCTCCTGGAGAGGGAGGAGATTGGGTGGGTGTGGGGCTCCAGCCCGACTAGGCTCTGGAGATGCCCGGCTTGCCTGCTCCAAGGCTCTTCTCCAGTGTGACGCTTTTTGCATCCAGCTCCTTGGCAAACAGATGTACAGCCTGTAGCGGATCTCCACAACTCTGGGGGTCCACGAATGTGCGGCGTGTGGGAACTTTGACTGGTGAAGAGAGAAAGAGATAGGCCTGAGGAAAGGAGCCTCCGAGGCTGGGGAGTGCAGGTTATGCAATGGCAGTGAAAAAGGTTGGGAAGACAACTCACAGTGGAAATACAGCTCCTCCTCCTCGTGGGCGTCCCGGCCTCCTTTGCCATAACTGCAAGGCCTGGGGAGATACACAGTCATTCTTTGACCCAGGCTGCTCCAGACCTCCCCATCTCACCAGTACCCAGGGCCACAGCTCCTTGTCCCTTTGAAAGGACAAGGTCTGCATCCCAGGGGAGGGACTACTTGTCCAGCTCTGAACTTTTCTCCACAGTGCACGTAAAACCCTGGCTCCACACTATTCCTAGGTATTCCTGCCGAAGGAGCAGGAACCCATTACTACTTACAGCAACCCCTCTTCCCCACATCATAGCTAACATTTACTGAGTACTTACTAAGCCCTTTGCCACAGTGTTATCACACGGGGCTGTCTTTATCCCAATTTTATTAAAGAGAAAATCAAGCCACACAGTCCCACAGCTACTGAGTGGAGGAGGGGGAAAGCCAGTCTGTGGGGTCAGGCTCCAGAGCCCATGCTGTTAACCACCCGCTGTGACCACTGCTTCCTATGGGACAGACAGTCGGTCCCCCCTTTCCCATCCATATCAAAACACAGTCCCTCCTCCTTGAGCCTTCACGGAACCTGTCTCCCCACATCCACTCTTTCTTTCCTTGGTTCTGGTGATAATCACCACCTCCAACTTCCCTTCTTTTTCTCTTTGATTTCTTTGATGGTTCTTTTGTGGTCTCCTCTGTGGCTTCTTTCTCCCCTACCTAATCTCTAAATGTTGGGGTTCCTTAGACTTGTTCCTAGTCACACTTCTCTGGCTCCGTCCTCTGAAAGAACAGGGGTCTATAGGGCCCGAGAAGAACTGGATTCAGCATTTGAGTGACGGCCAGGTCCGTGTCAGGAGATGAGAGAGGGAGGTGGAGGTGGAGCACAAGAGAAGGCCCTTGGGAATGATGCCAAAGAACTGAGAGACCAGGGGTGGGACAGGTCGTCCAATGGCTACTGGGTGAAGTCACCTAGCATGGTGACAGGACTTCCATGAATGAGGGGAACACCAGGAGAGGCGGACAGAGAAGAACGGGGCAAGGCTGAGCGGATGGAGGAGCGGCAGAGAACATAAGAGGCTTCCACCAGGTGACATCCTCAGGGAGAAGCTGGGTGGGCCGGGAGGGACTGGAGAGAGAATGTGGAGGTAAGGAGACCACAGCACAGAGCAGGCACTGCAGAGACTGGGAGAGGAGGGGACAGACAGGGAGATGTCAGTCTGTCAAGGGGGGTCGCATGCACTGAAGAGGTCCGCCTCTATGCCCGGGGACACCAGACGAGCTGACCCTAACCTCTTCAATGCCTTTGGGTTTTAAGCAGGTTTTGAAGGCCCCCCACCACCGCCCACCTCACCATCCCCCCAGCCTACTCTGCCTGCCCCAGTGCATCTGTCTCTAAGGAAATCCTGGGCAGCTGCTCCTGGCCTGCAGAGTCCTGCCTGGAGAGGTGCCCCTTACTCCCTTGTCTCCGCTTTCCTCCTTCTGCCTCCCTGAGCCCCTCAGCCCACAGCCAGGACAAGATGCTCGCAGGTCCTGTCCATTCCTGCTTCTCCCACAGGCCCAGCAAATGTACCTTAGGCATGAGACAGAGCTCGCTACTCTTGTTCTGCCTTCCTGACTCACTTGGCCCAGACAGAGCTGCCTCCCAGACCTGCAGGACAATGCCTGCTCCTCCTCTGCCACTTACAGAGCCTCAGTCCAGGCCAAGCAAACAGGCCGTGCCAGATGGGATGTTCACTGTCCCTCTAGCCCACAGGCAGTTGCGGGATGCTGAGATGTGCTGAGCTGTGGCTCCCTGGCCAGCCCATTTCTCTCTTCTGCTCCTGCCACCCAGCCCATTTCAGCCCATTTCAGCCCCTCAGGTCTGATCTCAGCCCCATCTGGGTACCTCTACATGTAGCAGAGTGTGGCCTTGGGGAGAAGGGGGAAATATATGCCATGCGGTTTCTCCTGTGTGCAAAAGGACTGGAATCTTCGCTGAGCCAGACTCAAGCCCCACACCTTTCCCTCTCCTCACCTCCCCTTTCTCTCCCCACTGTCCTGCAAGCTTCCTTCTGTTGGGTTGGGGATTTCTGGCTTCCCTTCCCTGTTTTCCCCCTCCCATACACATACACACAGCACAATTTCTGCCTTTCTTCCCCTTGCCTGTGTTCAAGGGCCTCAAGATCCCCTGAGGGCACGGGCTGGGGGCCTCTGAGCACCTCAGGAGAATCCTAATCACACTGGAACAGCTGGAGCTTGATTCAACCCTCAGTGACTCCTTCTGACATTTAATGAGTTAAGGAGCTAAATCCCCTTCATCCCAGAGCGGCTGAGCTAGTGGCCTGCTGGCTGCCTCCTGAGCAGTGTGTGGAGGAGGGGCCGGGACCATCCTAGCCATCCTGGACCTACAGCATGGTGTGCTTACACGTGCAAATTAGCACGTGTACAAACGCAGGTACAGATATAAGTGCTCGTGGACACATATTAATGTGCACAGGGATACGACCCATTAGGGGTCAGCCACCTACCTCTTCCAAATGGCCAGCACGCTCATCACGGAACCCAGGACGAGGAGGACTGAGATGGTCACCACAGTGACAACAACTGCAGGGCTCTGATCCCTGGAACCCAAGGCAGCTGGGAGGAAAACCACAAGGTTGAGGCAGGCACAGGCCCAGAGGCCCCAGGACAGACTGCTGTCCTCACCCCCCAGCAGAGTTTTGACAGCTGCTCTGCACTCAGCCCTGCCTCCACAGTGGTGTGTGGAGCCTCCTGCTCTTGCAGGGTGGCCGGTGGAGGGCGTCCGATGCAGCCCACCTCTGAGAGAGGAGTGGGGGTCCAGACAGGCAGGTCTGGGCCTCCCTTCTGCCTTTCAGATGGGCACAGAGAGACTCAAGGCAGCTCTGCAGGGGGAACAGCCTCCCATCTGACCATTTGCCACCAACAACAAGAGCTAACATTTAATCCACACTTACTCCAGTCAAGACACTGTGTCATGCAGCTTAACTAAATGGACCTATCTCATCATTACAACAGGCCAGTAAGGTGTTCTCTTCTCTACTGTATAGCTAAGGAAACTGACATGGGGCAAAGCTGCGTAATTTGCCCAAGGTCGCACAGCTAATAAATGATGAACCTAAGATTTGAACCTGATTCCGAATCCTCTGCTTTGAACTACTTCCCCAAAGGAGGAGCATAGAGGAACTGACTCTCAGAACCATCTATCTATCCATCCAACCAACATGTTTTCCAGGCTGGCACTAGCAATGGGGAGACAACAATGAATGAGCTAGAATCCCTGTCCTGGAGGAGTATACAGACCAGTGAAGGAAAGAGAAACAAAATTTTAACTGTAGAATGAAAAAAGAAACAGAAATGTGCAGAGCTGAGCAGAGGCATGATAAATGATTCCTAATGCCAGTGCGAAGGCATCACACAAGAGGTGTCATCTAACCTGGAATGGAAGATTGGAAGCATTTTTGATGATGCTTAGATACATGTGCTGGGTCTGGAAAATGGCAAGTCATGCATGTGGCTGGAAAACAGACTGCAGGGTGACAGAGTGGCCAGATATGAAGCTGGAGGGAAGAAGGACGAAGGGAACTGGGGTGGGGGAGGCGGAATCAGGATGGCTTGAATGCTAGGCCAAGGAGTGTGAACTTTATCCTGAGGGAGACAGCTAGAGTTCCTGCCTCAGGGAAAGGAGCGATGGTGTCCACTGGGTGGGGAGCAGGGATGGAGAGGAGATGCTGGAGACTGGTGAAGCTCTGGGGTAACTATTGAGAACGGGGAAAGTGCTACACAGCCAAAGACTGAACTGAGTTTAGAAAAACACACATCTGCAGGCAGCCTTGGTGTGGGACAGAGGAGGATGGCCCAGTTCTGGGGACACGCAGGGTGGACAGCGCACGACACCCAGGGGATGAGGCCCAGCAGGGCTGAGGAGCACTGCTGCTGGGAAAGCCTGCAGTGGCTGGGTAGAGATGGATGTGGGGTCAGAGGGGTGCAGAGAGCCAGGGAGATGAGGTCAAGCCGAGAGCTATCATTAGGATGCCACAGAGCAAGTGAGAGGGACAGAAGAGGAAGGGAGAGTCAACAAGGCCAGGGTTATAGAGGGGATTTCAGAGCCTATGGTCACAGAGGTGAGGAACAGGGTCCAGAGTCATGCTGGGGCAGAGGAAGGGTGCAGTTGCCCAGGCCTGTTTGAAATGAAACAGTCCATGAATGTCAGTCATGAAACCATAAAACTCTTAGAAGAAAACATAGGCAAAAAAATCTCTTGATTATAAACATGAGCAACTTTTTCCCTAACACATCTCCTTCGGCAAGGGAAACAAAATAAAAAATGAACAAGTGGGACTACATCAAACTAAAAAGCTTCTGTACAGCAAAAGACACCATCAGCAGAACAAAAAGGCATCCTGCAGTATGGGAGAATATATTTGTAAAGAACTCATCTGATAAGGGGTTAACATCAAAAATATATAAAGAACTCATACAGCTCAGCACCCAAAAAACAAATAACCTGATCAAAAAATGGGCAGAGGACCTGAAAAGACACTTCTCCGAAGAAGAAATACAAATGGCCAACAGGCACATGAAAAGATGTTCCACACAGCTAATCATCAGGGAAGTGTAAATTAAAACCACAATGAGATATAGCCTCATACCAGTTAGAATAGCCACTATTTGAAAGATAAGATATAACAAATGCTGGCGAGGGTGCAGAGAAAGGGGAACCCTCTTACACTGTTGGTGGGACTGTAAATTGGTGCAACCGCTGTGGAAAACAGTATGGAGGCTCCTCAAAAAACCAAAAACAGAAATACCACTTGACCCAGTAATTTCACTCCTAGGAATTTACCCGAAGAAAACAAAATCCCTGATTCGAGAAGACACATACACCCCTATATTTATCACTGCATTGTTTGCAATAGCCAAGATATGGAAGCAACCTAAGTGTCCATCAATAGATGAACGGATAAAGAAGACATGGTACATATATCACAATGGAACACTATTTAGCATAGTAAGAAAAGAAATCCTGCCATTTGCAACAACATGGATGGAGCTAGATGGTATTATGCTCAGTGAAATAAGCCAGGCGGAGAAAGACAAGTACCAAATGATTTCCCTCATTTGTGGAATATAAAAACAAAGCAAAACAGAAGGAACAAAACAGCAACAGACTCATAGACTAGCAGTTACCAAGGTGGGGGAGGGCAGTGGGTGAGGGCAGGAAGAAGGGAAGGGGACTGCTGAACCACTGTGGTGTACATTTGATAAAAGAAAAAAAAAAAGAAAAGAAACAGTCCATGTGTCCATGTGGAAATGGACATGGAGATAGGGCAGCTGTGGTAGTGGCCATTGAGATGCCCCTCCTGGATCCCTCACCTACTGGAATTCCCCTTGAGTGTGGACTAGACATAATGACTTGCTTCTAATGAACAGAATATGGTAAAAGTGATGGGATGTCACTTCCAAGATGAGGCTACAAGAAACTTGTAGTGGGCTTCTGTCTTAGGCACTACCTCACTTACTCACGGTCTCTGAAGGAATCGAGTTGCTAAGTTATATATAAGTAGCTCAAGGGAAAAGCCCAGGAGTCAAGGAACTGAGTGCCTCCAGCAAACAGCCAGCAAGAACCCCAGAGGGAAGCAGGTTCTCCCCCAGCTAGGCCTTGAGGTGAGCACAGCCTCAAAGAACATAGCCTGGGGAGAGACCCTGAGCCAAGGGCACCTAGCTAACACACCCGTATACTGCCCTACAAACACTGTGAGATAGCAAATGTTTGCTGTTTTCAGTTGCTATGCTTTGGGGTAGTTTGTTATGCAGCAACGGATAACTAATACAGGGTGAAGCATGATCCTTCATTATGATCCTGATTTGGGAATCACAGCTCACTGGAAAAAGTGCTCTGCAGATTGGAAGGCACATTCCCCCTTGGCCAGAGCCATAGCAAAGGAGGCTGGGAATCTGAGCAATGTCTACAAACTGAGAAGCACCAAATGAATGGAAATCATCAGCCCTTTTCAGCTAACAGGCCCTGCCTCTGCCACACTCACTCCACCCAACCCATGAGCCTGTGTTTAGATGGCTTCTTCTACCCTAAAATGCCCTTCCTGCCCATCTCCACACACTCACATGTTCCCTGGCCCTCAGGACAGAACACTAACCTCCTCTTGCCAGCACCTAGCTATGTCTGGCACACATGGGCATTCGAGCAAGAAGTACAATCTCTCTTCCCAGAACTCAAACTCCTTCAACATTTTATCTCCACTTCCCTTTGGGTTCAGAGCTCTTCCTATCTTGGATTAGACTCATGTAGCAGGTGGGAAAGAATTATCATCCTGACAGCTGGTGCCAGAATGCCTCTTAGGGGGAATTGCCTTTACCCAGGAAAATACTTTTATGAGCTGCTCAGGATAGACAGAAGTGAGATCTTGAGGGCTGGGTTAGCAGCAGGCAATACAACAAAAGAGAAAGCTAAACTGCTCTGCTCCATGTCACTAAAAGGAATCTGAGGGTGAGTGGGGAGAAGAGGAACCAGGGAGGGAAATTAAGAGAGGAGGGGCTAACACAATACCATGGAGAAGCTCGAGCTTCTCCACGGACAGGCACCCAATCCCATTCATGTCGCTGAACAGAGACTAGTTCATGCTTTCCAAATTCATTAATGAATTTAGGCTGTAATTAATCTCTTCGCAGGCTCCCTTAATTGCACAGATACACACCCCCGGCCCTGCCCCCCACCTAATTTGTCTCCCAGCCCAGCCCAATGCTGGGCTTTCTCTGCCTAGGTGCCTCTCCGCTGGCACACATCACTTACCCTCCCCCGGGGTCTGCACTTCAATGCTGGGATGGAAGTTCTGGGTGTCCCAGAAGGGCCCTGGGAAAGCGGCCCGGATCTGAAAGACGTAGCGTGTAGCAGGCTTCAGGTTGGTGACGGTGACTGCAGGTGCCCCTGTCTTCACCGTGGAATAGGTCTGCTCGCTCTGACCCTGGGGAGGGACTGAGAAGTGAGACCCAGACCCACACTCCTGGGAAAGGAGCAGGGTGGTGGGAGAAGTACCCTTAGTGAGCAAGGGCTGTGTGGAAGAACCTGACTCCAGGCATCTCAGGGAGTCCACAGGTTTCTCCCAGAGGATCCATAACCCCTTTCTCCACCACAAGTTCCCACCCTCATTTTGGGGTATTCATGGCTGAGAACAGCTCCACCTCCAAGTAAGAAAAACTTTAGAGAAGGTGCTTAGTCCTCCATCTTGGGGATGGAGGGATGATGGACATCAGGGCCTGGCAGTCCAGAGGGAGAGCTGGGCCTGGCGCCTCAGAGGAAGAGCAAGAAAACAGGCCCTGACACCTGCCCAGCCCCTGTCAGCTCACAAAGCTGTTCCTTCCCCTTGTCATCTGATTCCACAATGTCCTGCAAGGCTCTGATTCACAGGAAGCGGCCCAAGCCCCCAGTGGAGAGTGGGGACAGCAATAGCTGTCACTGAGCCAGGGCCTGCTCACTGCCAACTGCTGCGCTAGCCCCTTTTGAAGCCCAGCTTCCTTCAATGCTCACATGGCATTCCTGCCTCCTTTTATGCTGAGGGTCACATCAAGGGAGGGTCAGGGGGACATCTCAATTCCTCAGGGCCCATGCTCTGAGCTCTGCACATCACACGGTCCCCAGCACACCTAGTAATGGCTGTACTGGAGACTCTGCCACCGCTTCATCTCTGCCTACAACTCCTTTGTTAGAGCCCCTGCACACCCATGGCTCTCAGTTCCTCGGTCGTGGTGTACGGGAACTGGGCCAGACTCTAGCCCAAGCTGGGTCAATCAGGATCTCCCCTGGGCATCTGAATGACTCACTGAAAGACAGTGAGGCAATGGCTGCAGGACCTATGGGCTGGGGCATGTGAGAGCTGGGCTGGAGAGCAGGGAAGGTGCAAGGCCACCAACCTCAGCAGCTGTGATGTGCTAAGTAAGAGCAACAAGCCCTCCTGCAGAGAGACTGAACTGTGCAGAGAGAAGCAGAGATGCAGAGCACTGTGGCTCCAGCAATACTTCTGGTTACTGGGTTCCATGAGATATTCCTGAAGCCTTTCAAATATAGCCTCTGTTTTACTTTCTTCTCTTTTCAAGGGTTTTAGTTCCCAGCAAATACACAGTCCCTAAGGGCCTGGGAGCCTCCACCTTGCTCAGCTTTGGGACTTTGTCTACGTGCTGATCCCCAAGTGTCAGGTCAGTGACAACTGCAACTACCGCATGCCTAGCTCCTTCCCAGTGCCGCTCACTGATGTCCCCTAAACATCAGGGCTCCTCAGAACCCTGTCCAGGCACCTCTGCTCACTCACATCCCCCTCCTAGGTCAGCTCTTCTGCTTCCCTGGCTTCAGCTACCAGCTCTATGCTGAAAGCCCCTCTCTCTCTTTCCCCAGCAGGTCTCTCCTGTGAGCCAAAGACCTACAAGTCCATCTGATGTCCTATGGGCTCCTTGAATGCTACATGGGCAAAACCAAGCTCACCATCAAACCCCCAGCCTGCTCCCCCAGCTCAGTGACTCTCCGCCACAGTCAGTGGTGCTCCATCCTCTAGGTCACCCAGCAGTTACTCAGAACTCACTCCTCTTTCCTGTTCAACACCCCCCTTTCCACCCCACCAACTCACAGCTCTCAGTAGACTTCTAGAATTCAAAACCTTTTATCTGATTCAGCAAACAAGTATCCTGAGTCACGAAGAAGTGAGTGAAGTTCTGATACATGAAGTGCTAAGGCTGAAAGCTAGGTTTCACTTTTAATGAATAAAATTTCCACAGGTGGGAAACATTTTAACAGGAGATTACACATCAGATTTAAAAATAAATTTATGGGGAAAAGGGATAGTGGATTGGGATGTAACTTCATTTGTCAAATCATGGTTCAACTGCAACTGTACAGCAGTTTAGTTCAACTGCAACTGTACCCCCAAAAGCTGCGAAGCAAAAGTATCCATCCTATGAAAATCAATTGGCAATATGGAGTTTACAATTAGGAGCACTGCATATTTTTTATTATGCATAAGGGATGTGTTACACATCCTTTATATCAGTAAAAGTATAGTAATAATTCATATAGTTCACTGTTCTGGAGAGCTGGTTGTTAAACATTTACCAGCACACCATGGAGCCCCAGCACACCATCTGACCTACCAATGTGCTCCCACCCTCACACATTTTTGTAAAATTTGAAACAATATATTTCTGCATTCCTTTTCTTAAAACAGTTTGCAAAGTATGTATGTGATCCAGCCACACAGAATTTGGATCAGCCCCCTGAGAAAGCTCTTTGCCAACTGTCCCTGCTAGGCAGAAGTGGTGAAACTGGAGATGAGGACATGAAGAACGGGGGCCTCCTGGGGTAAAGGGGAAGAGGGGCGGCATCATTGGTGTGGAGGGACCAGAAGAACCTCAAGCCTGGGGGCCTGTTAGGTGGCTGGTGGGTGTGTTTAGAACGAAAATATGAAGGACGTTTGATGGGAAAATGTTGTGAAGAAACAGGCAACAGGGGCTGACCACAGCCAGGAACACAACAGCAGGTCTCTCTCAGACCCCGACTCACCTTCTCATAGTATCGGATCTCATACTCCGTGCGGTTGGCCTCTGGCGCTCCAGCAGGGATGGGTTCCCGCCACGAAAGGGACACACTCTGGGGTTCCACTCGGTCCCTGCGGATCTCATCCTCCTCCCAGGGCGCTGGAAGTAAGCAATGCAGAGTTCTCCACCGGTATCCAATGGTGGGGCAGGGCCAAGGGGCTGGAAGGACAGGGCATGGCGGGTGGAAGGGACTGGGGCGGGACTGTGGAAGTCAGAGCTTGGCCAAACGGCCATGGGCGGGGCAAGAGCCTCCTGAGGGGCGGGGACCGGGGGGTTGCGTCTAGAGGAAAGGGAGGCAGGTCGCACCCCAAAGCTCTCAGCTTTCATGGATCCTAGGAGGAAAAGCTTCAACCTGCCACTTGCCTACTCCCTATCCTCCAGTTTAGCTCATGGTGGCTGATTCTAATCCTCCAGGCTCTTTCTATGCTTTCTGTGATTTGGAGACACTAGAGAGCATAGGAGGAAGGAAGACAGACTACTTAACTACTCTAGTTGTCTGGTCAAGAGGTAATATACTCAGCAAACTAGGAATAGAAAGAAACTCCTTCAACATAATAAAATCCATATATGAAAAGCACAAAGCTAAAATCATACTCAATGATGAAAAAACTGAAAGCTTTCCCTTGAAAGTCAGGATCAAGGCAAGTAATGTCCACTCTTGCCGTATCTATTCAACACAGTTCTAGAAGTCCTAGCCAGAGCAATTAGGTAAGAAAAAGAAATAAAAGGCATTCAGATTGGAAAGGAATAAGTAAAATCATCTCTGTTCACAGATGACATAATCTTCTATGCAGAAAACCTTAAAGATTCCACACACACACACACAAAAACAGTTTTAGAACTAAAGAATGAATACAGCAGAGTTGCAGGATACAAAATGAACACACAAAAATCAGTTGTGTATCTACACACTACCAATGAACACTCTGAAAAGGAAATTAAGAAAATAATTCCATTTAAAATAACATCAAAAAGATAAAATACTTAGGAATAAACCTAACCAAGGAGGCAAAAAAGACCTTCACACTGAAAACTACAAAACACTGCTGAAAGAAATTAAAGAAAACCCAAATAAAAAGATATTCACGTTTATGGAGCAAAGGACTTACAATTATTAAAATGTCTGTAGTACTCAGTGATCTGCAAATTCAATGCAAAACCCCAATGGCACTTTCTGCAGAAATAGAAAAACTGTCCTAAAATTCATACAGAATCTCAAAGGACCATGAACAGGCAAAAACAATCGAGAGAGAAAATCAAAGCTGGAAGCCTCACACTTTTTGACATCAAAACATCACAAAGTTGTAGCAATTAAAACAGTATGGTAAAGAAATACACCTCATAAGGAGTTGATATCTGATAAGGAGTTGATATCCAGAATATATAAAGAACTCCTACAACCAACCAAAAAAAAAACCAAACCCTACAAACAACCTGATTTTAAAATGGGCAGAGAACTTCAACAGACCATTTCCCAAAGAAGATATAGAAATGGCCAATAAGACACTAACAAATGGAAACTCATCTCATGCTCTTGGCTAGGAAGAATTAGTATTGTCAAAATGGCCATCCTGCCTAAAGCAATCTGCAGATTCAATGCAATCTCTATCAAAATACCAACAGCATTCTTCAACGAACTGGAACAAATAGTTTAAAAATTCATATGGAATCACAAAAGACCCCGAATAGCCAAAGCAATCCTGAGAAGGAAGAATAAAGCTGGGGGGATCACACTACCCAACTTCCAGCTCTACTACAAAGCCACAGTAATCAAGACAATTTGGTACTGGCATAAGAACAGACCCACAGACCAGTGGAACAGAATAGAGAGTCTAGATATTAACCCAAACATATCTGGTCAATTAATATACGATAAAGGAGCCATGGACATACAATGGGGAAATAACAGCCTCTTCAACAGCTGGTGTTGGCAAAACTGGACAGCTACATGTAAGAGAATGAAACTGGATCATTGTCTAACCCTATACACAAAAGTAAATTCAAAATGGATCAAAGACCTGAATGTAAGTCATGAAACCATAAAACTCTTAGAAAAAAACATAGGCAGAAATCTCTTAGACATAAACATGAGCGACTTCTTCATGAACATATTTCCCGGGCAAGGAAAACAAAAGCAAAAATGAACAAGTGGGACTACATCAAACTGAAAAGCTTATGTACAGCAAAGGACACCACCAATAGAACAAAAAGGCATCCTACAGTATGGGAGAATATATTCATAAATGACAGATCCGATAAAGGGTTGACATCAAAAATATATAAAGAGCTCACGCACCTCAACAAACAAAAAGCAAATAATCCAATCAAAAAATGGTCAGAGGAGCTGAACAGACAGTTCTCCAAAGAAGAAGAAATTCAGATGGCCAACAGACACATGAAAAGATGCTCCACATCGCTAGTCATCAGAGAAATGCAAATTAAAACCACAATGAGGTATCACCTCACACCAGTAAGGATCACCACCATCCAAAAGACAAACAACAACAAATGTTGGCAAAGATGTGGAGAAAGAGGAATCCTCCTACATTGCTGGTGGGAATGTAAATTTGTTCAAACATTGTGGAAAGTATGGAAGTTCCTCAAAAAACTAAAAGTAGAAATACCATTTGACCCAGGAATTCCACTCCTAGGAATTTACCCTAAGAATGCAGCAACCCAGTTTGAAAAAGACATATGCACCTCTATGTTTATCACAGCACTACTCACAATAGCCAAGAAATGGAAGCAACCTAAGTGTCCATCAGTAGATGAATGGATAAAGAAGATGTGGTACATATACACAGTGGAATATTATTCAGCCATAAGAAGTAAACAAGTCCTACCATTTGCAACAACATGGATGGAGCTAGAGGGTATTGTGCTCAGTGAAATAAGCCAGGTGGAGAAAGACAAGTATCAAATGATTTCACTTGTCTGTGGAGTATAACAACAAAGAAAAAACTGAAGGAACAAAACAGCAGAAGACTCACAGAACCCAAGAATGGACTAACAGTTACCAAAGGGAAAGGGACTGGGGAGGAGGGGTGGGAAGGGAGGGATAAGTGGGGGGGAAAAAAGAAAGAGGCATTATGATTAGTATGTATAATGGCAGGGGGGCACAAGGAAGGCTGTACAACACAGAGAAGACAAGTAATGATTCTACAACATCTTACTACGCTGATGGACAGTGACTGTAATGGGGTATGTGGGGGAACTTGGTGATGGGGAGAGTCTAGTAAACATAATGTTCCTCATATAATTGTACATTAATGATACAAAAAAAACCCAAAAAACAAATGGCCAATAAACACATCAAGAGATGCTCAATACCACCAATCATCAGGGAATTGCAAGACAAAACCATGAGATATCACTGCTCACCCATAAGGATGGCCACTGCCAAAAAGAAAGATTAAATTAGAAAATAACAAATGTTGATAAGGATATGGAGCAACTGAAGCCCCTGTGCAATGTTGGTGGGAATATAAATTGGTGCAGCCACTATGAAAAACATGCAAGTTCTTTAAAAAATTTAAAATAGAACTACCCAATTACCCAGGAACCCCACTTCTGGGTATTTATCTCAAAGAAATGAAATCACTGTCTCGAAGAGCTATCTGTACTCCACGTTAATTGCAGCATTCTTTACAATAGCCAAGATATGGAGACAATCTTGGTATCTGAGTAGACGAATGGGTAAAGAGAAGACTATATATATATATATATATGTAATCCTGCCATTAGCAAAAACACAGATAAATCTGGAAGGCATTAAGCTAAGTGAAATAATGCAAAGAAAAATACTACACAATCTTACTTATATGTGAAATCTAAAAAAAACCAAGCTCAGAAACAGAGTAGTTTGGTGATAACAAGGGCCATAGGTGGAGGAAATGGGAGATACTGGTCAAAGGGAACAAACCTCCAGTTACAAGATTAGGGGACCTAGTGTACAGCATCGTGTATAGTTAACAATACTGTATTGTACTCCTGAAAGTTGTGGAGATCTTAAATGTTTTCACCACACACGCGCACACACACACAAAAGGTAACTATGTGAAGTAATGGATGTGTTAACTAACCTTCTCATGGTAATCATTTCACAATCTATACCTATACCAAATCATCACATTGCACACCTTAAACTTACACACAGTTATATATCAATAAAACTTGTGGGGTGGACAAAATATGACAGATACATACAATGGAATATTTTAAAAAAGAAAAACCTGTTACATGCTACAGTGTGGATGAACTTTGAGGATATTATGCTAAGCAGAATAAGCCATCCCCAAAAAGACAAGCACTGTATGATTCCACTTATTTGAAGTCTCCAAAGTAATCAAACTGTTAGAAACAGAAAGTAAAATGGTAGTTGCCAAGGGCTGGGGGGTTGGGGTGGGAAGAGGAGTTCTTATTATTGTAGAGCTTGAGTTTTACAAGATGAAAAAGTTCTAGAGATCTTTTGCACAATAAAGTATCTGTAGTTAATATTGCTATACTATACACTTACAAATGGTTAAGATGGTAAATTTCATGTTATATACATTTTGCCATGATAAAAACATATTGTTGCCTGGGTCACACAACCCAAAGCAATTAAATCATAACCTCTGTGTGGTAGGACTCAGGCATTACTATCTTTTTTTTAAAGCTTCACAGTGATTCCAATGTGCAGACAACTTTGAGAACCACTGATCTACATCATATCAGATTCACAGCAGCAAAGCCAAAAAAAAAAAAAAAGGTAATAATGCCTGAGCTAAGGCGGAGACCACTAGGTTACCAGGAGGAAAGATCATGGCCTCATTTTCAGTGTGCTGAACAGAGGAGTTTCCAAAAGAAGATGGTAGAAAGGAAGCTGGGTATGTGGTTCCAGGGCTTACAAAAGGTGTCTGGGAGGGAGTTGGAGATCCAAGAGCCATCGGAGAGTGACTGGATGAAACTGCCCAGGAGAATGTACAGAAAGAAGGAAAAGCTGCTAGGGAATAAGCCCAAGAAATAATGAAACTTAAGAGGCAGACAAAGGAAGAGGAGCTTGAAAAGGAGGAACCAGAGAGGTAGGAGGAAAATTAGGAACAAATGACATCACAGAA